CTAACCTGTTTGGAATTTATATGGAGATGGAGACCAGAAAAATTAAGGACTGTGGAATACCTGAATTGGTGATAAAAAATAAAATTTAAATTTAAAAGAAATCACCAATTAAACGAAAGGTTTGAGGAAAGAAAATAAAATAATGTAAGAAAATGAATAAAAATAGAAGGAAAATAATTATGATTATAAAATGATTAATTTAAGTAAAATTTAAGAGAAAAATAGAATAAGAGGGAAGTAAATAAGAATTTAAAAATGATAGGATGTGAGTGAATTGGGTATGGACCCTGAATACCTTCTCATTTAGTCTGAATCGAGGAGGGAAGTGTGTGTGTGTAGCTGAAGTTCAGCGGGCATGGTGAACCTGCAGATGGATAGAGTTTGAAACCTTGTTCAGACGTGGATATGTGTTTGTGAGTGTGGGTCACCTAACAAATATAACTGTTCTGGCCATTGTGAGATTTTGTGTGTGTGCACTATCCATGTGATGAGGGGATCCATTTCACCTCTCCTCGATGATGACATAAATGGCATCGCGCTTTGAAACCTAAGAAATGACCTTTCAAGTGTACATATGATCTTTTGAGAGTATGTAGTTATACTTCGAGATTGTAAATGATATTTGAGTGAAATTAAGAAATCTGATCATAAATATGTGAAAATGGTAAAAATAATAAATAAATTTTGCATTGAAACCATTACTTATGCATTGTCTCACATTGTATGTTTTTGCATGAAATCTTATCTAGGTTGGAAAAATGAAAATACTTATTGAATTAGTGAAACTCATTAAATTTTACCCTGATATTTTCAGAGGAGAAAGAAGAGCCAAAACTGCTGGTGGACAAGTAGAACTTGTGAAAAGATTCCTGTTCATGTGTATTTTGTTCATATTCTAGAATTTTTTTTTATTTTGTTAAACTCTAAATTTTGACATCATGTTTTATATATATAACTACTGTATATATCACATTTGATGGTAGATTATATGTTAGATTATTGAGTTATGCATATGCATATTTTGTGGTCCAATATATGAAAATGACATGAGTAGGAATTGCACATCATGTAGAGTTTGGGCTGTTACACCTAGTTTGCTTTATCTAAACTTTAAACCTTGATGTTTCTCATACATATCTAAATCACTAACATTTTATGGCATAAAGATCATTTTAGCTAAAACAAAAAGCATAATAAAATTTAAAACGGGTTAGAAGACTTATCATAGGTTCTTGCTTTGTTAATTTTATCAAACCCTTTCTCTCTCTTAATTCAATTCCACCTATAATATCTAAACCCTTGTTTTGTTGATTTATATAAAATTTATCCTCAACTGTTCACTTAACCTTCGCATCTCTTTTGGTTCCTTCTTTGTTATTATTATCATACTCTTAATAAATGAATAAAATGCTTTATAAATTCTTAAGACATTAGTATCTTATAGCCTAACTTATTCTTTCAACCTTATTAATCTCTTTTGCATCCTACTTAACTTAGGCAGAGTAATTACTTTTGAGCTTTTTAGGTATCCAATTAGGAATGTCATCTTATTGGATATGTGAATGCCAACTATCTTATTCAACCTAACAATTTAATTTCTTGTCCCATCTTTATTAA